TTTATGTAACCGTACCAAAAGTTAAACATCATGGCCTTGCTAATGTCAAGAATTGCCTGCCCTACATAGATTGGTTTATTTAGTGTTACTGTGCTCTTTAACATATGGACTGCTGTAATATCTCCCTCAAATTGCTTGAAGCCTACAAATAATGGCGAACTTACTAATCGCCTAATTTTTTTATCCTCTTCTGTTCGTAGTAGTTCTACTCTCATATGTTTACGGACATTCTCCATCTGCTTGCCGAAGACTGCATTATTTTTTAGCTTATAATACACGACCCCAAACTCATCCCCATTTGCCTTGGCTATTTTGCGTTTACGAATATTTTCCTCAATATATTCCTTCATCCACGGAGACTGCCTAAACTTGAGAGCGCTATGAATCTTTGTAACTTTCATTCTGAACTTCATATATGTCTGGAGAGCTCGGTAATAAACTATATAATTCTTCTTAGTAAAAAGGGTCTGAACTAGCTTTTTTCCAGATACATATTTTCCTTTTCCAACATTTTTATCACGCACTAATATTTTATTGTATAGACTAAGCCAGTTTTTTGGTATTATCTGCTTTTCTGGCGCTAAAGGATAATCTGCAAAGAAGTCATGTAAGTGTGCCAGAACTTCTAAATCTACTTCGGGCATATAGTCTATTTCTGCATTTGGCACAATAGTTTGAATATCTGGTACCTCTTCTGGATCTACCTTGCCTATTATCTCTGTAGGTATATATTGCGTCATTGCACCTGAATATAAAGCATTAAAATTCTCATATAGTATCCAAGACTTTGGCTTGCTAGGATCATAGTCAGGACATTTAGGATTATTCGCTTTAGCATATCGGTGATTTGCCATTGTCATCCCTCCTTGAATGCCATTCTCAACTATCAAATATTCGTCCATATTTGTCATAAGCTTAAGTTCAGCTCCACTACTTTTGTATAAGGAATCATTAAACATTCCAGGTACTGAGACATAATGGGAAGGATCTAAGCCATCATCTTTCAAGCACATAATAGTGTAGTTCATGAAAATATCTGCAAGTAAAAGTACATCTGTTTCAAGATATAAGTCATGATATTCTCTAAAATTCTTCATCTCAAATTCCTGCCATATTTTTTGTGCATATTCATAATCTCTTTTACTTATATTTTGCTGGCTAAGAATCAAATAGAAATCCTTTCTTGATGGGAGCTTTGTTCTGTCAAATTTATCCCACAAATTTGTCCAATCATATAGAAATACACCTTTTCGGAAAAGAAGTTCAATCTTTTCTATCGAATAACCTTTTTCAGTAAAATGTTTGACAGTTAAGGGGAATTTTTCGAGCTTTCCACCTAGGTATTCAACTAATTTATCAAGTCCCATTCCCATATGTTAGAAGCTGTCAAGAAATCGGAGTTAACCAACATCCATGGCCTTATACTTTCCAATATTTTCTGAAATACATTTTAACTTATCAGCTGTGAACTTGCTTACAACTGTCATAAGTGGATGAGAATCATATCCTCAAAAATTATGGCAAATAAGGGTACTTTAGTTTCAAAAGATCCTATTCACAACTTTTTGTTACATGAGTCATGAGCTGGGCCTCGATACTTACCACTTATATGGTCATGGTCTTTTACTTTACAGTTAAGAGCACTTAGAGCTTCACGATATTTTTTCTGTATTTTTTTCTTTTCTGGATGCTCTTCCCCATATTTGCTTCCCATTCTTTGAGTTCTAGCAATCCATGCTTTGCTTCTTCGAATTTTTCCAATGTTTCTTGTGATGGTTTGAAAAAAGGCTTCTTACAAATCCAACACTCGGTTGCTTTATTGTATGCCTCTAAGTCTTCTGGCACCATAATTATTTCAGCTGGTGTAGATAAATCTTTCTGAATGGCTAAAAGTTCCTTCTCAATTTTTGTGACAAATCTTTCAAGCATATCAGGTCCTCTATATAAATCATGACTCATGATTTTATAGTTTAGTGAACTATCCATATGAACAACTATGTAATAATAGCCACACAGCTTGTGCATCTGTAATCTTTCAGTATGGGTTAACTTCATTTTCTTTTCTGAAGTTAACTTTTCAGTTAATATTTCTAGATCCCAGAAAATGCGATATAGATTTGGTTGCATGCATTTATAATTATAAAAAGCTTTGATACTCCTATTCTTAACTGGCATTTGTGGTTGCTGGGGGGCATTATTTAGACCTTTGCATTTTGGCAAATATTCATTGTATCTTATCTCTGAAGAGTATATATGAAGACAATAACGGCAGAGATATTTTCGTCCTTTATGCTTGCTATGATTGTATACCAGCTTATGTAAATCTTTGATAATACAGTAGTGACTTCTTTC